AGCCTGTTCAAGATAGAAAGTTTTAAAAAATTATCTAAACCCCCTTTGATTTCTTCTGCTGTATTATGTTTTGCTTTCATATGAACCAAGAAAATGCCTTAAGTTGGTATCGTCTTGGGAAACTGAGTATTTTATTTTTGAACTCAGTTCCCCCCTCCCTCCCACCCCACCCAGCACACGGCTAAGGAAGGGGTGTTTGTGCGGTGGCACACTCATGACCAACACCCTGCTGATGCTCATCACACACAATGCACGGCACGGGTCACACACCACAACGTCCACGCATCACATGTAGGTCACACTTCACACTGACCACACACACCACACTGCACACTCATCAGACACCGCCTCGTGGTGACCACCACGCACTGACCTCTACACCGAGTCTCTGGAAAGGCCATTTCTGATGCTCTTGTGCTGCAGCTCCCTGACCCTCGCCTCAGACACCCCTACCCACTTACCAAGCCCCACCCTCAGCCTTGGCTGTGCCTTCCCTCAGCTTGTCGTCAGTGCCCCTCCGACGGGAGCTGCAGTGTCCTGCCTTCTTTCTGAGAGTGGTCAAGACAGACGGCAACAGTGAATGCTCTTGTTCCTTTTCCGCCTGCAGGTACCTATGAGAGTGGAAACTATTTCCTGGCACATTTCACATGCGCTCAGGTGAGGCGGTCTCATTGCAGCTTAGATGCGCTTGCTTCCCCGGCGAGTGGCACATGGCGGTGGCTCTGGTGGCATGCCAGCACGTGGATTCTGACTCGTGGTGATAAGACCCCCAGGGACGGAGTGGAACTCCCCCAGACGGTGCCCAGGCTGTGGAACTCCCCCAGGCTGTGATCTGTATGGGAAGCAGGTCACCAATTCTTTCTCCCCTGGAGCCACTGGGCAGGTTTGAGCTGCCAACCTTTTAGTGAGTGGCCATGAGCTTCACCACTGTGCCACCTTAGGGCTCCTAAGCTACAGGTTCAAACCAAACTCACTGCGGTTGCGCCAATTCTGACTCAGAGTAGCCTCGTTGGACACAGTAGGACTGACTGCCCTTTGCGGTGCCCTCCTTTATGAAAGTGGGCAGCTTCATCTTTCTCCTGTGCGGTGGTTCAGAACGACTGTTCGGGGTTTGGGAAGCAGCCCAACCCTTAACCCACTGCCTCACCATGGTCCTGAGGTTAGCCATGATCAGTTAGCTGTGTAACTGTGATCACCCACATGTTAGTAGGAGGCCTCTCCTGCTGTTAAGAGTCCCTTGGTGTCACAGCTGTTAAAGCATTTGGTGGCTTACCAAT